ATGACCCTCGCAGCAGATAAGGAAAAACTCCCCAAAAAAAACCCTTTAACGGGGAAAAAAAACGGTAGAAACCTCAGGAAGAGCAACTGAGTAGGGATCGCTCTTCCGGGACGGACAGACGTGCAGTAGATGTCGTACAGAACAGATCAACATAATAAATTAACAGAGAGAGACAGAGGGAGAGAGAGAGAGAGAGAGAGAGAGAGACAGAGAGACAGATATGCAGGACAGACGGTAATGACAGTAGCTTACAACAACATTAATGAAAGTAATAATATTATAGTTCTGGCTACTGTGGTGCAATATGTTGAAAGTATATATTAATATCTGGCAGTATACATGTGTGACAATAATCATGTGTATAATAACAGTAGAAATATTCCGTCAGTCAAAGCCAATTAAGACAGGAAACACAACACATTGAGAGTTATGGATGTAGTTAAAGTTCTATAAGTTCTGGTGACCCCCAGTTTGCTTGCCTGTAAAGGCATTCCATTTTACTATGTCATAAGGTAAGCCAACTTCTTGACCAAGCCATGATTGCACACTTACTGTTTGTCTTATTCTATTTCAGATGTTAAATAAAATTAACCATCTGCTTCCAGTGTTTCCCACAGGATTTTTCCAGATTTGACTAGTCTAAGTATAGTGGTTTGGGATCTGGACCATTTCTTAATTGAGATCAATTCTTAATGATCTCAATTAACATTGAGATCATTAAGAAAAAATACTACAGTAAAATGAATAAAACTCAGGATAATGATAACCTTTGACATCTCCTGTCATACTGGAGTATTACAGTAGTTTCTTAAGAGTTTTTAATACAGAGCAAACAAGACCACAGCAAATAGGCAGAAATAGCAAGACTGAAAAGCAGTTTACCATGAGTAAGGACAATAAGAAAAATATGCTACAGTTAAAATGCTTGAAATTTAGGACAATTGCACTCTACTGATCATTCTCATTTAATCTTCCTTGTATTTGTTCAATTTTTCAGTTCATGAATTAGCTTGAAAATGACTGAATACCGCCATCTACAGGTGTTATGCGACATTTAAGGTGGACCGAGAAATTCCAATTGGAAGCTGTGAATGGGATCACTGCAGATCTACCAGAGCTTTCGAGAGCAATGGTGATGTTACAGAGTCAAAGTTATGTTTTACGTCGCGGCAACAAGTGCATAATCCTTGGGACTCCAAGGCAGCCATAATAAACAACAGCCTACTATCAGTATCCAACAGTAAATTAAGAATGCGTTAGGCTGAATAACTTCCGGGGCACAGAAATGAGAGAGATTAAATATCAAAATAAAAAAAGGGATCGAGACTGTTTTTTAAATGTTCTATTTTTGACCTGCGCACTAATTGAAATATTTGAAAAAGAAGTTGAAATCTGTTTTTTGTTGGACATTGAAAAACAAATAATGAAATAAAACATTTTTCCATTGTTGTTTTTTCATTCTTAATTGAAATTCAAATGAACGAATGGTGCACGGACTGTTAAATTAACAGGGTTCCTACACAAGTATGGAAAGTATGGAAAAGTATGGAAATATATTTGATCAATTTCCAGGTATTAAAAAGTATGGAAAATGAAAAATAAAGTATGGAAAAATATTTATGTTTCCAGACTATTACCACTGTTCTAAAATACTGTTTTCTAAAATAGAAAATTAGGTATTTCCAAAAATAATTTAATCAATCCGGATCGTGTTTTATGCCGGGCCAAGCACAGTTTGTGTGAGGGCAAACGTCTCAGAAAACATACCGCCCCTTTTACCTGATTGACAAGTGGTATGTCCAGTCCGCTGCCCCATGACCCTCCTCCAGCCCCCCGGGTATCAAGTTTCACTCCAACACTGCACCTTCGACAAGAAGACGAGTTTCACGTGGTTCACAATGGATAGATGCAAGTTTTTGGATGGATGGCTTGACAATAACATATATAAATACTGGTTGGCCAAGGATTCCCAATTCACACACAGAGCTAGATGCAAGCTTTGTGTGAAATCGTATGACATCGCCAACATGGGGGAGGAGGCGATTCTGAGCCACATGAAAGGAAAAAACACTGACGTCTCGTTACTGCATCGCTTGCACCCAGAGTCCCAACCTTTTTGCCTCAGCCTAGACATTGAACTTACCTGAGTTTTTATTTGCATGCCATTATGGTACTTGGCTACAATCGCCAAAATAATCGCCTAAATAATTAAAAATGATGTGAAATATGATACACTGATGTATTTACTCAGATGTCGCATATTCTCTGAAAAAAAAAAAAAAAAAAAAAAAGGCTGAGAAGTCTGGAAATTAGGGTCTGGAAAAGTATGGAATTTTGAAATTCCAAATGTGTAGGAACCCTGACTTAAGCTTATAGCATTAGCCTGCCCCCACTCGTCTGCAACAGGTAAATCCACTCTTGGAACAGCAGTTTTCCTTAGGAAAATAAACCCTGTAGCTCTTCATTTTCTTGGCACAGTTTGGAAATGCACAAACAAGAACCACTCTTTCTGTGCTTACAGAGGCATTCTTCCTCTTAGGCACAGGGTCCCAGCACCCACTGGAGGACTATCAGTTTCCCAGCTTCATGGCCTTGCAGCAGCTTGTTCACCCTCCGCTGCCTGTTGTCTCTCTCTCTCCCTTCTCATCAGCTGTTCATCCGTATACTCTGGCTTAAATAATGGGGCCTCATCCACATTGTTAAAATTGGGTAAATAATCATCGATGACAGAAAATCTTTCATATAACTCTAAACTAAATTTACTGTAACCTTCTCTGGTTATTACACTCTCTCCAAATCTCACTCATATTTCTACTGTTGTTTTCCTGCAACAAGTGACATCTCATGATGTTTTAAAAAGAAACTTCTGTTTAACAAGGCAATAACAAACAGACTGGATCAAGTGAGAGGTAAAGTGACACTCACTCTGTGGTGAAAATAACCACTTTTAATGGAGAAACAGTGACAATGTTCAACTGCCACATATGGTTACATTGCAGCCTGTTGCACTGTTGCCAGCTGCTGCCCTCTTGCTAAATAGTGGACCAATTTCAAAAATTGTTGTTCACATAAGTCTCTTAGACACATATACAGACCCTTTCCAAAAAATTAGAATATCATGGAAAAGTTGTTTCATTTCCATAATTCCATTAAAAAAGTTAAACTTTCATAGATTATAGATTCAGGGCCCACAATTTAAACGATTTCAAGTATTTATTTGTTTATTTTTACATAATTTGGGCTTCCAGCTCATAAAACCCACGAAAACAGGAATTCAAAAAATTAGAATACTGTGAAGAAATCAGCCCAAATTTTGCAGGGCATGAATGTTTTAAACTGAGTGTCACACACTAATCATCCACTAAACTCAAAGCACCTGCACAGGTTTCCCCAGGTGTCATTAAATTGCTTCAGTTTGGTTCAATTGTCTCAGTTCGGTTCAATATGGGGAAGACTGCAGACTTGACAACTGGCCAGAAGACCATCATTGATACCCTCCATAGGATGGGTAAGCCACAAAAGTTCATAGCTAAGGAGGCTGGCTGTTCACAGAGTGCTGTGTCCAAGCATATCAACGGAAAGTCTAGTGGAAGGGCAAAATGTGGCAGGAGAAGATGCACCAGCAAAAGAGATGACCGTGGGCTTCAGCGGATTATCAAACAGAGAAGATTCAAGAATCTGGCAGAGATCCAGAAAGAGTGGAATGAGGTGGGAGTCACAGCTTCAAAAACCACCACATTCAGACGCATCCAGGAGATGGGCTACAACTGTCGGGTTCCTCGGGTCAAGCCACTTCTGAGCCTGAGCCAACGTAGGAAGCGTCTCAACTGGGCCAAAGAGAAGAAGGACTGGACTGTTGGCCAGTGGTCCAAGGTCCTCTTTTCCGATGAAAGTAAAGTGTACCTTTCATTCGGGAATCAAGGTCCAAGGGTTTGGAGGAAGACGGGTGAGGAACAGAACCCAAGCTGCTTGAGGTCCAGTGTGAAATACCCACAGTCAGTCATGATTTGGGGTGCAATGTCCGGTGCAGGTGTTGGTAAACTCTGCTTTCTTAAATCCAAGGTCACCGCAACAGTCTACCAGAATGTTTTAGAGGACTTCATGATTCCTTCTGCTGAGGATCTGTATGGAGATGCAGATTTCATCTTCCAGCAGGACCTGGCCCCTGCCCATACCGCCAGAAGCACCAAAAGCTGGTTTGATGCCCATGCCATCACAGTGCTTAACTGGCCAGCCAACTCGCCGGACCTAAACCCCATTGAGAATCTATGGGGTATTATCAAGAGAAAAATGAGGGACACCAGACCCAAAAACAAAGAAGGGCTGACAGCAAGCATCAAGGGAATCTGGGCTTCCATAACTCCCAGGCAATGCCACAGGCTGATTGCCTCAATGCCACGGCGCATCGAGGCAGTGATTAAGGCAAAGGGATTCCCAACCAAGTATTGAAGATTGACATATCGTTTTGAAAGTACCATATTTTGACTGATTTGATGTGATCCTAATTTCTTTCTTTTTTTTCTGCAAAAACTGAGAAGTAAATGGTGATTTCTTCACAGTATTCTAATTTTTTGAATTCCTGTTTTCATGGGTTTTATGAGCTGGAAGCCCAAATTATGTAAAAATAAACAAATAAATACTTGAAATTGTTTAAATTGTGGGCCCTGAATCTATAATCTATGAAAGTTTAACTTTTTGAATGGAATTATGGAAATGAAACAACTTTTCCATGATATTCTAATTTTTTGGAAAGGGTCTATACATGGAAGAATAGGATTCAGGTTGAAGAATGCTGAAGTTATCCATTAACGTCTCAAACAGTTCAAAACTCAAAAATATTATGGGTAAAATGTTATAAAACAGAGTCTTCACATTTTAGGCTTAATCAAAGGTTGTTTTTGTAAATAAATTTCCAAGGTTTTGGCATCAGTTAACATGTTAAGGTAAAAGCGTGTGTTGTAAGGTAGTAAAGTTATTTGGAACTGTCTGCATCTTTGCAGGCAAAACTACTCTGGCTGACTGCTTAGTGGCAAGTAATGGTATCATATCAAGTCGACTGGCAGGGAAGGTAAGTGGCTTTATATACTACAATGACCTTTTTGACTGTCATGTTGTTTAGATGTTATGTCATTATTTGTGTTTAATGGTGGTGTGTTCATTTACCAGCTGAGGTATCTGGACAGCAGGGAGGATGAACAGATCAGAGGAATAACTATGAAGTCCAGTGCCATCTCTCTGCATTACAGACATGGTAAGGCCACTTTTGCCAGCCCTGATGTAAAATCCACACTTAAATATTTTATACAGTTGGATTCTGTCACTGTGGGGCACTTATATATGAAATATATAAATATGCACTTCTGTTAGGCTTACTACATATAAACAAACCATAGGGCCATCAGCTGTTTGCTCGAGATCAGACTAGAGACATAACCACTTAAAACGTGGATGAGTAGCCCACTTGCTATCTATCTCTATCCTACTTTATAAGGTTACTTTTTTAACAGAAAAAACATGTTTTGTTTGTGATATAAAATAGGTCAAAGTAGGCTTGGGCGGCATACAAGGGTATTCAGAAATCCCGATAGTATGACTTTCAATACTGTCAAAAATACAGATGCTCTCCTTCCTATTAACTTCAGGCTGTAATGAGAATGTTTTGCATGTAGTGCACATCATGCACCACTGGAGGTGAGTCTAGTGCAACAGGCAGCTGAGCTGACTGTGAGTAGTGAAGAGAATATAACAAGACTGTCACAATTCACAAAAACAACATATGAGAAGGCTTATTGTACTGAAATGAACATTCAGTTCACAGTCAACAGCTCTGGTGGACATTTGTGCAGTTAGCATGTCAATGGCATTCTCCTTCAAAACTTGATACATCTGTAGCATAGGGCTGGGTGATGAAACGGTCTTGATAGGGGTCACACTAAAATGTATCTTGAGGTCTGTCACAGATCATAAATAAATGTGACCACAGCCAGTCAGTCTGCTGCCTGTTTCTTTGCGCCACGGCCTGTCCACAGAAATGTGGGGCTAAGCTTCACTCACATGGCAGCGAAACTTCAGAGCAGAGCCCACAGCAGAGGCAATGAAACAGACTTCAGGATATATTTTACTAGTGTCAGCAACAACAATGCTCATTATCCACAAGTGCAACAAAAGAGAGACAATATGATCAGTTTATCAAATACCAAGCAGAACACAAACTTGGAGGAATGTGGCGTCATCTGTCCACAACTTAACCTGCTGACTCCTCTTAATTCACACCTGGGGTCCGTTTCACAAAGCAGGTTTAGTGAAAACTCAGAGTCTGTTCACCCTGAAATGAGTTTTCCGTTTCAAAAAGGGAGGTAACTCAAACCAGAGAAAGAGGGGTAACTCTAGCCTGTTTCAGAGAGAGAGGTAACTTAAGCTCTCGGTCAGTTACCGTAGTAACAGACTCTATGAACCTACCCTGGTCGGGACCAGGTTTTTCTCAATGAACCTCGAGTTTCTCTCTGTCTCCGCCCTCTTTCAGAGCCACACACTCCATTCGATTTCCTCATTCATTCAGTCAGCAGGCGAGTTTTGGCGTAGCCGTTCTGCTGTCTGTCTTTTAAAAAAAATCAGAGTCAGTATATTAGAAGTCCATTAGGCACAGTAGGTGGCGACTTTTTTCACTAACATGGCATGTCCTTTTGATAACGATCCTGTGGATGAAGGTGCAGCATTACTGTGCAGAGAATTAAATATTTGTCGAGAGATGGTTATCAGACCGCGCATAGATGTTTTAGCATTTCCAGACAATTATCTTTTTGAGCTGTACCGTTTCACGTCACAGTCCATCATCTACATACATAACCTAATCCATCCTTACATTTGCAACATTACCAATCGTAGTCATGCTCTCACATCCCAGCAGATATTGTGTGTTGCGCTGCGTTTCTTTGCAAATGGAAGTTTTTTGTATAATGTCAGAGACGCTGAGCACTTGAGTAAGGCAACTGTATGCAGGGCGGTCAGAAAAGTGTGCTCGTTTTACGGGCATCTGCCTTCTTTCTGTTGGCTGAGTAGAAGTCTGTTAGTTTAAACAGGCTTAATTATTTAACAGAACATAATATAGATGAGAAGACATTTATGTGTGTGAAAACAGCATTATGTTGGGGATAAAACAACTTCACAGTCAAACAGCCACTTAATATTTACTTTACAATGTAAAACATGATCAAAATGAGGTACCCCCATGAGATTATGCCGAGGTCTTACCTGTTTGAACAATGTTTTTATATTTCATCCTAACTGCTGCCAAGTGCGCTTCTCCCCTGCAGGTTTGCACCTAAATGAAATAAATTAATAGGCTACCATTCAAGCAGTTTTCCCCTGTAATATTATTGTGATTGCAAAGGACTACATTTAAACTTAGCCATTCTCCCACACCATCTCCCTCTCTTTTGCAGCTGCAGCGGTGTTGCACTTCTTTTTGAAAACGTGTTCAAACTTGCCGTATGAGCGCATTAAGATTTCTAATTCTAGTGGGGTGAAAAACGCAGCCCTCCTCTTCCCCGTTGCCATGGTGACTCGTCGAATCGGGGCTCCATTGATGCTGGCTTTTTATAGTTGTGGTGCACGTGCTTAACTCCAGGTGAAACTACTCCGAGTTGATTAAACTGATTCAAATCAGCTGTTCTGGAACCGGAAACTCAGAGTTTCCTATCTCAGAGTAGATCAACTCAGAGTTCAGGATTAGACTCAGAGTTTGTTGAACCTGCTTTGTGAAATGGACCCCTGGTCTGTTTTACAAGGCCATTGAGCTAACCATGCTGAAGTGCTAAAAATGAACTTGTGTTATCCTCCAAAGCTAAGGGAAGTCGTTGTGTCAATTGTGAAGTAGTTTAGATATCTCAAAAGCGACAAAGTGCAGATTAAGATGATCTGCAAAATATTCCGTCAGTCAATGCCAATTAAGACGGGGAATTTTGTATAATTTGATTTAAAGGCATCAATCAGGTGAATTCCGAGAGCCAAGTTATGGTGGCAGAATATGCTTAGACCAACATCTTTGTGCTTTTTATGTGTGAAAAATGTTCTATTTTTACTGATAAAAACACTAGAGGTATGTTATGGTGAAGGGTTACACTTAAAGGGAAATTTCGGTTTATTTCAACCCGTCTCCTATCGTCCTATATTTGTTTCAAGTGACTAGTGACATAGAAATAATAATAATAGTTAGCATGTTAGCCGTTAGCCTAGATACAGCCGTAGCGTCAGACCTGTTAAAACTTGCAACAGAGGTAATTCTCTTCTGTGGGCACTGGGGCACAGCATTCACAGGTAACGTTACACCACCGATCTCCAGAGCTAAAGCCTTCCAGCAGCCATTCCTCCTCTGTCATCCTCTACCTGTTGCACCTCTCTCTCTCTCCTCCTCCGTTCTTCAATTTCACGAAGCTCTTCGTCAGTGTATTCTGGCTCAAATAAATAAGGGCGGCCATCAAACTCTGCAAAATCAAATTCCTCCTCCACAAAGTCGAAGTCTGGCAAAAAGTCAGCCATCCTTTAAATCTTTCATAAAATAAATGAAAGAACCTTTCAGGCTACTGTCCAGTTCTGCCTTGCAGCTGCTGCGGCGTGTTCTCGCGAGATTTCGGCCGCGCTTTGGGAAGCAGAGGTAAACGGTAAACACACGGTAAGACAACAACTCTGAAGACCACCTAAATGTGGAATGTTAGTATATAGGCTTTCCACATCGAGAGGCGATGGCCGCCCTTATTTATTTGAGCCAGAATACACTGACAAAGAGCTTTGTGAAACTGAAGAATGGAGGAGGAGAGAGAGAGAGAGAGAGGCACAACAGGTAACGTTAGAGGAATACCTCTGTTGCAAGGAATGGGACCAGTTGCAGCCTTAGCTAAATGGTAAACAACAAACATGGCAGCACACCGGTAAGGTAAGACAACACGTTTACATGTCGTTTTCTATATGTTCTCTGACATTTATCCTAACGATATGAGGCGGTCTTTGTGGAGAAAAAGCTTGTTTAGTGGACTAACTTTGCACTTGAAAAGATGCCAGTTCAATTAAATTTTAACAGGTCTGACACTAAGGCTGTATCTAGGCAAACGGCTAACATGCTAACTATTATTTCTATGTCACTAGTGACTTGAAACAAATTTAGGATGATAGGAGACGGGTTGAAATAAACCGAAATTTCCCTTTAAAATATGGCTATGGATTAGTGGTTAAACATTTCAGTAATCAAAAGAAGAATGACCAACATACTGATCTGCCTCTGGAGGGCCAGTGTTTCCCCTATATGCACCGCCGCTGCTGAAATATGCCCGCTTTTTTTTTTTAAGTCTTAACTCTTTAGAAACTACCGTTATATCCTTTGACGCTACGGACGCTTCATATCTAGGCCTGTAGAACAGAGCTATAACATGTCTTTTTATTAAAAGCGCCGCCATAGTCTCATCAATGTATGGGAAACACTGGCTTCCTTCAGACTTCAGTCATTATCAGAATACTCTTCAAACTCGCAGCATTATTGAATTAAATATCATGATAAATAATAATATTAATCAATATGAAAAAAGTTACTGTGTTTTTTTATGTTGTCATACAGCCCCTCTGTGGCATTGTGTTGTGATAACACTGCACATTTCTGAGCTTGTGTGCTTACACATGGTCTGAGGTTATGAGGCAGGTTGGATGTACAGTGGCATGCAAAAATTTAAATACCCCAGGTCAAAATTTGGTTCACTGTGAATAGCTAAGCAAGTAACAGATGACCCGATTTCCAAAAGGCAAATTGTTAAAGATGACAGCAAGATTAGTTTTTAATTTCATTATTTCCCAGTTTCAAAATAAAAAAGGGAAAAGGGCCTGAAGCAAATCTGTGGGCACCCTGCATGGTCAATACTTAGTAGTGCCCCCTTTGGCAAGTATCACAGCCTCTAGTCATTTTTGGTATCCAGCTAATAGTCTTAAATTCTTGTTTGGGGGATTTTAACCCATTCATGTGAATTTGGAGGTGTGTTTAGGATCGTCCTGTTGTAGAAGCCGTCCTCTCTTCATCTTCAGCTTTTTTACCGATGTTGTTGTGCAAACCTCTGATGCAGAATTTTGTGAGGACACAAGACAGGTTTTCTTTTGATGACTTTTCCATGAAGGTCATATTTGTGCAGGTGTCGCTGCACAGTAAAACAGAGCACCACCACCCCAGAGTCTGATAAATCTTACTGTAGGTCTTTTGCAGTAAAATGGGGGGTTTGATTTGCCTTTCTTGCAACTGTACAATCGGCTCTCTCGGAAATTTTATCTTGTCTTTCAGACCTCAACTTGATATCCACAGGTCATGTTAACTGCCATTTCTAATTACACTACATTACAAACTGAGGAAACAGCTACATGAAAACACTTTGCTATCCTCTTGTAGCCTTCTCTTGCTTTGTGGGCATCAGTTATTTTAGTTTTCAGAGTGCTAGGCAGCTGTTAAGAGGAGCCCATGGCTGCTGATTGTTGGGACAAGGTTTCAGGAGTCAGATTATGTGTAAAGCTTTGGAATTTGCATCATCTGGCATTCCCTATTGAGGACTGTGAACAAGCCAGAGCCCTAACAAGCTTATTAAGGTTTGAGACCCTGTTAAAAGTTGTCTGAGAGCTCAAATGTCTTGGACTGCCAAACTTTTTCATGGTGCTCCTATCCTTTTTTCACTCTAAAATTTACAAAAAGAAATAATACACTTACCTTGCTTAACATGTTGAATAGCATGTTTCATCTTTAACTTCAGGCCTCTTGGAGATCATTTTGTCTTCCACTCACTTAACTACTCACAGTTACCATTTGTGTCTGTATTACACTGTGCTTTCCTTATATGGGAACAAAAGGGACTTAATTGTATTAGAGACCTCTGTGAATCTGATGTTTTCTCTAGCTTTCAGAACATGAAAGACCAACATGCTCTATCTGAACACAACCTTCTTTGGAATTTTAAATAAGACATTTTGTTCAAGCTCAGTTCACATCTTTTCCACAGGTACTCCCTAAATTACTAAATTTTGTCCTGGGTATCTCATCTCATCTTACTCTGTGTTTTTTATTAACTTGTTATTTTTCATTATTTTCTATTTGTTTCACCAGTCATGTCATTATCTGGGTCATGTGATGGCCTCCTGTGGGTTTCTGCGACTATATAGGAGTGTCAGTGTGACCTTGCATCAATCTCATTCTCTTGAAAACAATATCTCAAGAATGCCTTGAGGGACGTCCTTCAAATTTGGCACACACATCTACTTGGACTCAATGATGAACTGATTAGATTTTGGTGTTTGGGGTTATCTCACAAAATATGTTTTTGGCCATAATAAGAATTTGTATGCTTATTATGACAAAACTTCACACAAATGTCTAACAGGATAAAATAATGAAGTGATGACATTTTATATCCAAAAGGTCAAAGGTCAGACCTCTTTTTTTAAATTTAGATACGTCTCTAAATAGTATTTATTTACCTTTTGTCTCCTTAGGAGATCAGGAGTACTTGCTAAACCTGATTGACTCTCCTGGTCATGTCGACTTCTCCTCAGAAGTTTCCACTGCTGTTAGGCTGTGTGACGGTGCCATTGTAGTTGTTGATGCAGTGGAGGGAGTGTGTCCACAGGTAAATATCACTGATGACTTAATGTCTCATTTTGTAAGGAAACATATTTACTGTAGACTCATATTTTTACCCGTGAACATACAAATTCTGCAGCCTTTTGGAATTTGAACTAATTTTTGTCTCTGGACTCCAGTACACCATTTTTTATATATATTTTTGAGTGCTAAACTACATAAACTACAGTTGTGACTGTGATCATGATTATGATTGTTATAATTATTATTATTATTGTTGTTGTTGTTATTATTATTATTATCATATGACCATCACAGCTATTGCTATAATAACATAAAGGCGGGGGGTGGGGCTGGACTGGAATGGCTGAGGGTGGAGGTGAGAGGGGGCTCTGTGCCTGGTTCTCTGGAGGCGTGGTGGTTGGGCCCTACCTCTCTCTCTCTAAAAAAAATAAATAAATAAAAATTTGCTGCCTGTTTTGCTTGTCTCCCACTGGGGCTCCTGGCCGTGCTCTTGGGGCCTGGGGCCTATCACACAAAACTAGGATAAGGGATTAAGCCGGGATATCTTGGTAATCCTGACTCAATTTATCCGTGATCCGGTTGCACAAAAGCGGGATAGTGGAAAGCGGGATATGTTATGACATAAGTTACCATGGAGATTTATTCTGTGGAGCTAGCCTGCTCCAGACCAGGCTAAGTTCCAGGATCTATTTAATCTCATCCCTTATCTCAGTCTGCAGTCACCACAAATGGAAACCAATAGTTATTCCACTGCCCACTGCACATTGTTATCACATTCAATCAGACCCACTGTCATTATTTAAACATTTGTGATCATTAATTGCAATCATTTTAGATAAATGATGATTTTAGATAATTTTGCAATCATAAGATAATTTACAGTTTCCCATAGACTATATATAAAATACACATCCCATATAAATATAAATACACATCAAAGAGTAACATGATGTTCCTTTACTGAATAAGGATAAATCAAAGCAAGTAAACCATAAGCTCCTTTCAAAACTGAAGTCACACAGTGACTCTACAAGATAGAAAGCACAGAATCAAAGCATATAATACAACACAAGAATAAATACACATTCAAAGGTCTGTATATGATACACCCCGCATGTCTGCACACTGAAATAAATGCAGGACAAATCCATACACAACAAATGAACAGACAAATGAATGGATGCAGTCGCCTCCCTGCAAGCTTGTATACACACAGTATACAGGACAAACAACATAAGAGGCCAAATCAATTTAAATTGAATTAAAAAAAAAAACAAATTATTCTGCCTCTGCAGGACATATTTAGCTTAAATTTAAAGCATGCAAGTTAACTAAAGTAATTTAACACATATTGGTCCCTGACCAGCTGACCACTGTTGTCATAAGGGAAGATGGCAGGATTGTCCCAGTCCATGGCTGCATCCCAAGTCTCTTAATTGTATACTGCTAACTCCTAACTCCTGACTTGAACTGGAAGTTGTTCGAGGTCCGCCATCTTTAAAGCCGTCTCATGTCTCTTATTCCTGCCAGTAAGGAGTTAGCATTAGGTGTTAGGAGGGATCTGTTAGGTGCGATGAGTAAGGAAACACGAGAGGTTCCTAACAGGAAGTCTTTTTCAGCTTGAGGCTCTGACGTATAAATACCCGCCCCCTACGTCTGGCTCATTTGAATGAAATGGCGGAGAAACAGCGCAAGTGTACCCGTTACATGCATTCTTTGCAATGAAACGCTGTAATTCACATGCCTACGTGACTACAAAGAGTAATGTTAGCGGACTGTCGGTGATGTGTGGCTGTTAAATGTGCAGCTGCTCATGTCCAGAACCACACGTGTTGATGTAACACACACACACACACACGCACACACACACTATGAGGGGTCAAACGTATCAGCGAACACACACACACTGCATTCACTGCATACTTGATACGTGTAAATTGCGTGTGCAGCCATCACCGTGTACTTACTTCGCGTGCATTCACCGTGTACTTGTTACACATGCAATGCGCATGCAATGCCTGCACACGCCTAGACGTGTGGTTATTAGACGTGTGTGCGTAGACACGTCATGTAATCAGAGGGGTCAAAAGTGTCAGCTGTTGAAGCAACAACGTGTCATGTTATGGACGTGTGACACGTAGCATCGCTATGCTAACTCTGCTAATCAGACGTGCGTGTGTAGACACGTCATGTATCACAGGGGTCAAAAGTGTCAACTCTTGAAGCAACAACACGTCGTGTTTTACAAAATAAAACATCCGGTTAATTTTCAAAATAACATACACAGCGTTCACGGCGGATCATATTTCCCTGCACTACACCTTGAAACGGTCATAATGGGCAGAGGCAGGCCTAAAGTCAACAGGTCAGAGGTTTTCAGACGTCATTTCACCCCGTTGACACCATGGACGAGGAGATGTTAATCATGGCGGTGCACCGAGATGTCTTCCTACTGCTCCTCTGGTTTTGTGGTTCTGTTTTATAGAAACTACATCTTGTTATGTCGCGCGATTATGTGTGAATTCGTGAGATCTCATGGGTCCTCGTGACTCCCGAGCTGCACTGCTCCGCACAGCAAATGCAGCCGGTGGGTGTTGACGGACGGCGAAGCAGTGGATAACCAGCGCAGCCGTTTCGCAACGGACAAGCATCCAGTGGAATTCCGGCGTTAGTGCTGAGGCGAGCGGAGCAAGGAGCTTTCTTCAGAGCTGCTTTTCTGAAGCAAAACAAAAGTTTACGTGTTCTAAAAAAAGAGAAAGCATCACATGTCCTGCGATGTGACTATCGCACATGCACACATTGCGATGGCGATGTTCAAACGATATATCGTGCAGCCCTATTTCTTACCATCTACAATACAAACTTTTTTTTTTTTCTTAAGATATTTTTTAGGGCATTTTAGCCTTTAATGGATAGGACAGACAAGTGTGAAGGGGGGAGAGAGAGAGGGAGTGACATGCAGCAAAGGGCCACAGGCTGGAGTCGAACCCGGGCCGCTGCGGCAACAGCCTTGTACATGTGACGCCTGCTCTACCACTAAGCCACCGACGCCCCTGCAATAGGAACTCTTAACACCTCGGCTCTTACTAACCTGACAGATGTGCTGCACTTACAACTTTCTTGTCAATCTTGCAAATGTTGTCTGTGAATTTTTGTTCAGTGGTGAATAGCATCTGTAGTGTTAGTCATATGTCTAATGTGATGTAATGTTGATATCTGTGTGTTTAATTGAGCTCTCCTACCATGCTGTACTGAAAGCAAATTCCAGAGACACTGGTTGTGTGGTCATTGATAAATTATTGGTTGATTACAGTGACAGCTAAAATTACTATTATTAAACACAGGAATGAGAGTTTGGGTGATCAGCCACGTAAAACCTTAGTCAAACCTATGCAATACACACGTGAAAGGTTTTTTTTTTTTTTTTTTTTTAATATTATTTTTTCCCCTGCTTGCGTGTATTGTGTGCAGACCCAGGTTGTGCTGCGCCAAGCTTGGCTGGAGAGCATCAAGCCTGTCCTGGTCATCAATAAGATAGATCGACTCATCATGGAACTGAAGCTTACCTCTCAGGAAGCTTACACTCACCTGCAGAAGATCCTTGAACAGGTGAGTACCTCTTATCTGACACATGCCACAATCAGTATATTTTCAGTATACCATTTCTATGCAAGTCCTCTTTAACAGCCTCAGTTGCAATGTTATGCTACAAAGACACCTTCACTATTCAGTAAAATTGTTTTCTATTAATTCACTGAAAACATGAAAAAGTTGTAGTGTTCTCTAGAGCACTGTAACTGAGTATTGGTATGCACGCCCTTTGTTGTAGGTGAATGCAGTGACAGGGACTTTGTTCACATCCAAAGTGCTGGAGGAGCGAGCGGAAAAAGAGAAGGAGGAGAAAGAAAGCGAGCTGTCAAGTAGAGATCAGGTTTATGACTGGAGTGCTGGGCTGGAGGAGGCTGATGACTCCCAACTCTACTTTTCCCCTGATCAAGGAAATGTGGTCTTTGCCAGCGCCATAGATGGATGGGGCTTCAGGTGAGGCTGGTTCCCTCTTAAGCTGCATTGCTGACCTCAGATGTAGAGACTGACACAGAACCAACCAAAGAAGGCAATTTCATTGGAGGCTGCTGATGGTGTAAAATTGCAATTAATCACTGAATTTTTAGAGTGTCTTGATTGGGAATCAAATGAATCCAAAGAAATTTATTTTATGATCTTGACTTTTAGATTTATTTATTTCAAATCAGCGCTGCACTTCTACAACAGTGTGGTCTGAAACCATGACTTAGAGGTAGGAGACAACTTCATAGTGCTTATTCTGTAAATACAGTGGTGTTTTTTGTGGTGTGTTTAAAGAATTACACTGTTGCAACTGAGAAAGTGAAGTTAACGATCAACAATATAATTTTGATTACTCACTGATGTCCAATGATCCCTGATTTTTACCCTTCCGTTATGCTGGGAAAAATGCATTTTAAAAGATCAAAGTCTTCACTATTAAACCTTATGTTATTTAATTTGAAATCCAAATCTTCATTCGTGGGATGCTGATTTAGTCTCACTAATAAAGATTTGGCCACCAATAAAGACTTCTGAATTGACTATAGGTTGCAGTGAGACAAACTTTTGTCATAATTCAGTGGATGTGTTAAAACATTTTAGGGGCTGTATTCACAAACATTCTGAGAACACTCTCAGAGAGCTCCTAACTCAGCCTAAAAAGTTTCCGTAAAGAGTCCTAGCTTAGGAGTCATTTAGGAAAGATCTCTGAGCAACTCTGAACAAGGAAGGGACAGAAACTTTTACCTAGTGAGGAGATGTGGTTGATCCTGTTGCTAGGTATGATGCATTCTTTGAACAGGTATGATTGGTTGCCACAGACACGCTCTTTTGTGAGCCTGCAAGGTGTGGACACTCAGTGGAAATTACCGTAAATGAACTTCTGACTGTGAAAGTGTTGTCATTGTTAGTGTGATCACTTTGCTGATGGAAGGTTGAGACAGCCACAAGTCATCACTGCTGCTGCTGCTGTTGCATTTTTCCAATTTTCCAAATATCTTAGCGTTGTGATCATTTTATTTCTGGCATTATAGCGTTAGGTGGGAAATATGTGTATATCCCTAATGAGATCAACCACACATTATTCCTGCACGATATAATCTGTAGCATTTCATTTACTCGCTGTCATCCAGCGTTTAAAGAATATTCCTCTGACCTCTTTGTGTTTCCACCATTTTCTCCTCTGATTAAGAAACTCTTAAGTCTCTTAAAGTCATCCTCGTTGCACCTAACAGTTTTTCACCTTAGGAGCTCTTTTAAGGTCTAAGATGCTCTGTGAATATCTTTTATCTCTACAAGAACCTAGTCTTAACTTTAAGGGGAAATTCTAAGAAAACGTCACAATTCTAAGAATTTTCTTAGAATATCATCCCTATGACCAACTCTTAGTGCTAGGAAGCTTTGTTAATACGGCCCCAGGTCTGTAGCATGTACTTCTGATTTATTTTGTTTTTTGTTTTTTTAAGTTTGGAATGTGAAATGTATAGAAGCATCTTTAAAGTAGAAGACCTTTGGAGTAAAGATGCAAATTAATTAATAAAAATGGTGAAAGAATTTTGACAAAAACATACACTTGATTGTTACAGTGTCACCCTGAGGTCAGTGAATATCCTTTTTTGTGCCTTAGTAGTGAGTGGAATGTGCAACCCACTTAACAATTTTAGTGACTTTTGGTCTCACACTGTTTGCTGCATAAACACTTTTACTGAAGTGAATTATTTATAATAATAAGAATGACAACCAGATCAATAGGGCTCCAGCAACGAGTTGCTTCTTGTACCGATTAAAAAGCTAAACACTGCTGCATAGTTTGTAATAAATGTCTATAATTACATTTCTGATGCCTGTGCGCTTCCATAAAAACTGTAAATAGATTGGATTTTATTTTTTGTAGCATTCAGCAGTTTGCCCACATCTACAGCCAGAGAATGGGTATTAAGGAAGAGGTGCTGCTCAAAACCCTGTGGGGGGATTTCTACCTCAATGCAAAAGCAAAGAAGATCATGAAAGGAGCTCAGGTAATGTAACTATCAGCAATTGTATGTCTTTGTAATATTTTTTACCTTTTGCCCATGTCCTTTTTCCGATTCTGGGGTTAAAGCCAGCATGGGCTGTTGACAGTTGAAAGCTGTGAAGGATCAAAATCTTTGACAACTGAATTAAAAATAACCAACAGGTTACATAATGATCAGACGGGCACTCATTCATGCATAACCAAATCTGTGCCAGCCCATGTGCCTCTGCAGAAATGCCATAACCCCCTAATGTTCAGCTGCAAGAACATTTTAGGGACATGTTCAGACAACTTCAGTGGTTCCCCCACTGAGTGATTTCAAAATTATTTTACTCATGTAGTTCAACATTATTATGACACATGGTCTGTGAGTTTTGCAATAATTGGATAATGTTCCATTTATAGTTTGATTTGTGTTATACTACGCACATTTCTATAGGTTATGTTACAGGTACTGATGTGGAGAAATAATAGGCTGTTTTCACTGAATTTCTCAAATATGTTTTGCGGCTCTACACAGATATTTTTTTTTTTACTCTAGCTACTTCCCACCATACCTGGATGGTGGGCAGTGTAGTTAACTGAAGAGTTGCAAAATTAACCTATAGACCGACATGTGTAACAGGTTAAGAATATTCTTTGCGATTAACCGTTGATATGTTTTTTGATGGTTTGTCCAACTGTTGCGAAGTTAGGCTTAAGTTTATGTGCTGAGCCATACCCCTTTATGAAGTTCTTTAGTCAGTATATTTAAAAGGCAATGACACATCATCAACTTTTTGATAAGCCTGGTCCAATAATGGTCCACAAAATATTTTTACATGCATGGTTCGATATTGTTATGTCACATGTCCTGCAAGTTTTGTAATAATTAGACAACCAATTTCTGATTTACAGTCTGATTTTTGTTATGCCATGCCCATTTGTAGCCACCCTCAGTGGTCATTTTAAATGAAGCATTCAGGGTATGTTTGATAAACTTATGTGTACATACAGTACTCTGCAAGTTTTGTGATGACTGGCCCAATGATTGTAAAGTTAGGTCTGTCTTCATTGTCAAAATGCAATGAGATATCAACAAGCATTTAATAAGATTGGTCCAAGAATGATCCTCAGAACCTTAGGTACAAATCAAGCCTATGGTTTAGGAGAAGATGTCAAAAATGTGCTTTCAGTAAAAGTCAAAATGGTAAAATTTATGAAGGCACACCATCATGGTTTTTGAGGCTTTTTTGTAGAGCACATTGAGTTGGACTTGGGAAAAGTATTTCAGGTCAATCCAACGTATGGTGTGGAAGTTATGATTTGCATTTACACAAAACTTCCTATCACTGGTGAAAATTTCATGTGTCTATGATGTAACATCTCAGAAATTTCTGAAAACATTTCTGAAGCAAAATAATAATCAGCACCGAGCCAAAAGGGTTTCAGCCCTTTGGGCTTGAACCCCTTAAAATCAGAGATTTGCTAAATATTACAACTGTTACTGCTGCTGCTTGGGTGGTGAATAGAGACATTTGCCCATTTCCCACTGCACTAACATCTTGCTTTTTAATGCAGTGGGAAAGGTTTTAAATTGCCATTCACACCTGGGTCTCATTTATCACTCTTGCGTATGCGCAAAATGAGGCCTGAAAGAGGCATACACCACTTCCCATGCAAAATTTGTGATCTATAAAAACAAAACTTGACATGGGAATGTGTGCACCTGTAGGGAAACTCTGACCCATGTGTCCCAACATTTTGGAGACAGAGAAAATTGGTGATGCAGATGGTGAGGTGGTGAACTGAAGCCAAATTGTAGAAATTAAATGTGAGAGGAATCATTATATGTATAATGATGTCTCTCATAGGGCTGTAGTCAACCAAAGAAAATCTTGGGTGACTAAAGTCGCACATAATCTTCAACTAATCGATTAGTCGTGGTGTGTCTGTCACTCTGCAGTTAGACCTCCAAAACACTAGTCGGCGGTGGAGGGCTATGTTAAGTGCTGTAAAGTTTAGTTCAAATCAAACTTTATTTATATAGTTAATTCAAAACACACATTAAATATGGCTTAATAGGGACAATTTCAAACACAAGTACGCAAATTGGCTTCACTATAAATCGCAGAACTGACAGACAAACACTTGTCTTTATCTGGACATATTTCCCCCACCAATACAACATGCTAACGTTATTAGCACAAGTCTATGGCGTTTTACATTGTATAAATTAGCCTAGCGTCTAGTGATCTTTTCCTCTTCTCATATGAAACCAACAGCAACATGTAACAAAGGTAATGACACACAGTTTGGCTCCATTACAACTCACAGCATTCACTGACAAAACAACTGTCTTATACTAAACACGTTTTCCAAGCAAATACAACATGCAAACGTTATTAGTGCCAGCCTATGGCATTTTACATGGTATACATTAGCCTAGCAACGAAGTATAAATCCCTGAAGGATAAATCACACACACAACTTAGAATGCTATTTTAGTGGAGGCTTTACTGTCTTCACAATTTATTGTTTCTTGTCTGTAAAATATAATTAAATACAAGCTTCGTTTCCACTGAGGGAAATGGTTTCAGCCTACAGAAACTGACAGGACTGCGTCACTGCGACGCTGAGCGTGAGGGTGGGCGAGTCCAACTTTCTGTCAACAATGGGGGTGTTTTGAAAACACCCCCATTTTCACAGGTAACTTAGCCTGTCCCCCCGCTGCAGGAAATAATGGATTAATCCAGGAAAGCTGTTGATGTAGCACTTTTCTCTTTATGAAAGTAACACAGCGATTATTCAGTTAATGAGAATTTGGTCGGACGAGAGCATAGGGACCAAATAATCGACTAGTCGACCAGGAGACTACAGCCCTAGTCTCTCGAGACAGAGGGGGATATAGCTGACACTCATGGTCAGCGGTAGAGTGCACATCAAATAGCATTAATGAGTTGAAAAACAGAGCATCCAGCTTCCAATACTGTAAATACATATCACCAAGCATGATTTAAGATTTTAGATAGTTTTTGTGTGTAATGTCGCTGTAGTGAACACGACTGTGAGAGCACAGAGCGCACTGGAGACATTGCAGTAACTGCCACACACTTTTCCTTCTCCAGTCACGTTAAAAACATCCTCACCACCTGCATGTATAGATTGTGTAAATGAATAAAGCCTGGAAATAAAGCCAGTGCCCGCTCTCATTTATTAAACTCCATGTCTTCATTTTGAGTCCTAATCATAGTGCAGGCCAAGATCACTGTAACAAACTTAGATAAATTAATAAATGAAGTGTTCACCTATCAAACTTTAGTCTCCAAATGATATCCCAGGGTGGGATACACTGATTGTCACAATCAGTTTGGCACAGTGTGAAGCAATCAGTCTGACAGCTGTAAACAGGTAACTGTAAATAGATATCCACGTGCTGACAATTCCAAGTTGATTTGGGATTTCTCAAAGTGAATTATTCACTGTCAGGCATGCACATGGTTTTATAAATCATAATATTCTTTGGCATATGACATTTGCTGCTTTTGTCCACATGTACGCTTTCAGCATAGTCCTACGCACTGTTTTATAAATGAGACCCCTGGCCTGTCTGTGATGTTGAACGTAGAAGACAGAGTAGTTGTGCGCACATCTAATCCTGCTTAGGTCAGGTGCTGGATAATAGGGGTCCATGCACAGATCTTTCTGTGATGTTGAACGTGACACACCAAATTAAAAAACAAAAACAATTATAGCTGCTGCGCAGCGATGGGTCGGGTCCGGGCATTTTTAGGCAATTCTGAGCAACAAGCAGAAGAATTGGAAGACATTTAGGAATTTAGCAACACAGTCTGCCTTTTGCATCAGCTGAGGCTTGAACACACAACCTCTGAGACTAAGAATTAATTTCTGTCTCACTGAGCTAATCAGTCAGTGACAATTCATGTGTAGCTTCACAAATTGACTAAGCCAGATGTGCAGGTTTAGCAGCTGTCCATGCATGGAAAAGCAGATTTCAAACCACTGTAAAAAATTCAGTTAACGAAATAAAATTCTGAAAATACACATATTGTATCTAGACAGCATGGAGATGTTGGTAATTTGTTTGTAACAATGATTGATTTGCTCCATAAGTGAAAAACTGATGTTTAAAATTTCCATTTTTACATTGGCTCCAATTGTTCACATTAGAGCAACATTCAAAATGCTGTCAAAAATTCAGTTTTTGAGATAAAATTCTGAAATTTGCCACACATCATCTACCATGACTCTAGAATTTTGTCAAGTTAGTTCTGTGGCTGATGCGGCTGTGTCAGCAGATGAGTATGTGCTGCTCCATAAGGGTGGTTTGAGAGAGTGCACGCCCAGCCATGATGATGTTGGCTGGGGTGGGAGCAGTAGCGGTGCTGCAGCAGCTGACCAGAGGCATTCTCGGAAGCCTGGTTCATTTAAATTTGAGCCAAACCCCCGAAGCAGTTTTGACAGCAGTGAAAATTGTAATTACTGTCATGAGAGGGTCCATTGGAAGGCCGGTCTAAACATAGAGGAAGAAACTCTAATTTTAAGCCTGCAGCGCCTGTTGCACCTGTGGTTACTGGCGGTGTTTCTGAGCTGGTTTCTGATGTGGTTTCTCCTATCTGTGATCCGGATGTTTTGGAGGCATACGCTCCTTTCATTAGGAGTGGGTTTGTGTCACTTGTGGGTAGTGATGTTAAAGTCACGGTTACCATCTTGAGAGACACGGGGGCCTTTGACTCCTTTATGGTCGAGTCAGTGCTGCCTTTGTCCGCGGAGACTGACAGTGGTGACTTTGTCCTCAGTCGTGGGATCGGGATGACTGTTCTACCTGTTCCTTTGCATAAAGTGGTGCTTGATTGTGAGCAGGGTGCAGGGTGAGGTAACTGTGGGGGTGCGGCTGGCGTTGCCTATTGAGGGGGGTTCATTTTATTTTGGACAACTGTCTGGCTGATAAGAGAGTTTGGGCTGACATCCCTCCCTCACCTGTTGTTACCCCTGTCCGATTGATGATGTTTCTGACGTGAGCTCCAGTGAGGTGTGTGGTTACGGGTGCAATGAGTAAGGCTGAGCCGGAGTTATCTGACGAGAAGCTTGGTGACGCTGATTTCGAGGCTCTGTCTTTGTCCGATTTTCCACCGTCTGCGCCACAAGGTGAGTTGTTGCAGGAGCAGCTGGATGATTCTTCTCTTAAAGAAATATTTGACCGTGTTCTGCCGGCTTCGGAGATAAACAGTGCAGCCAGTGGCTACTTTTTTGTTGTTTCAGAAATGGGTTGCTGTGGGTGGTGATTGTGTGGGGGGTGCTGTTGTTCAGTTGGTTGTGCCGGCTAAATTTCGTCCCCTTCTCCTGAAAGTTGCCCACGATGAGAGTGGACACTTGGGGTCAGGAAAACGAATCTAAACATCCTGAAACATTTCTTTTGGCCATGCGTAAAAAGAGATGTTGCGACGTACATTTAAACCTGTCATGTCTGCCAATTAATGGGCAAGCTGAATCAGCGTGTAAAGTCTGCTCTTCTGCAACCCATCCTTGCCGTAAGTGGACCATTTGAGTATTTGATTGTGGACTGTGTCGGTCTGTTGCCACCTGCTAAATCTGGTTGCAAGTATCTGCTCACGGTTATGTGCCAAAGTACCAGGTAGCCGGCTGCGTACCCATTAAGGTCCATTACTACTAAAGCAGTGGTGAAGGAGTTGTCCCAGTTCATCTTGGTTTTCTGCATCCCGAAAGTTATTCAAAGTGATCAAGGGTCAAATTTTTCTTACCATATGTTTGCTCAAGTGTTGAAGTAGCTGCGTGCATAAAGCATAATCAATCGTTGGCTTATCACACGCAGAGCCAGGGTGCGTTGGAGAGGTTCCATCAGACCCTCAAGTCTCTCCTGCATGCGTATTGCACCGAGCTGGGCAGAGACTGGGAGGAGGGGCTCCCCTGGCTGATGCTGGCTACGCGGGAAGCCATACAAGAGAGCACTGGTTTCAGTCCAAACGAGCTGGTTTTCGGGCATGTGGTGAGAGGCCCTTTGGCTGTGCTAAAAGATAACTAGGTGGAGGCTGAGCTGCCAAAAAACTTGATTGATTTTGTTAACGGGTTTCGACATCGCTTGTTTGTAGCGGTGTGGTATGGTACATGATAAGTTGTCTCCGAGTAAGATGAAGAAACTTTATGATTGGCGCACGGAGCGCCGGGAGTTCATTCCTGGAGACCAAGTCTTGGCATTGATGCCTATTGTGGGTTCGCCCTTTCAGGCCAAGTACACTGGTCCGTATACTGTCACTGAGGAACTTTCAGACTTGAATTATTTCATTGCAACACTAGGTCGGAATAAATCTAAACAGCTGTGTCATGTCAATCTTTTTATTATTGGTATATTAGTATTTTTCTGTGATTTTCGTTAAGTTATTTTTTTGCTGGGGTAAACGTGAGTTGGTTCAGCGGGTTGTCATGCTGTCTGTGATGACGTAATTGGTGACATGTTGTTGTGTTGTCTTTCTCCCGAGGTAAACAGCTGATCGATTCATTATCCTTATTGCGAGCACCTGGGCCCGGTTCGTGGACGGATATAAACAGTGCTGGCTGACGCCGCGCTCTCACTCTCTCTCAACTCCTCGCCAGGGCCCCTACTTTTGTTTGGCTTTTCTTTTAGGTTATCTCCACAACACCACACCTCGCGTGCTCCACACATCCACATGTACATTACTGATCACACTGACTAACACAGCCTATACCTATATTGTGTTTATTTACGTTGCGTTATTTAAATAAATATACTTTTGTATTTGAGTTTGCGCTATGTCTTTCCGTCTTTGTCATTGCCTTTGAGCCGGGTTATGACACTAATAATAATAACAGTAGTAGCAGGCATCAGGCAGGACCACAGCAGCAGAGCAACCACAACCCATGATTCAGGCGTCCAGAGAAGAAGCGAAGTTAGTAACTTGCAGTAATGTCACTAAGCATGTTAATATGCTACCGATAGCATTTAGCTAAGAACTCTACTGTTCTAAGCTGCTAGTATAGCTGCAGACTTGTAGTTTTGTTTTTTTTTTTATAAAAAAATGATATTAAAGGTCATTCACTGGCAATATTCTGTGGCTGGAAAATTAAATTAAATAAAATAGATTTGAAACTTCTTCTGATTCCGTCGGTTGGCCCAAGTGTTGAAATTTAAAATGACTGCAAATTGAAATGTCTTACTACATAAACAAGCCATATATATTATTAATAAGGCTGGCTACAATGATCAGACTAATTCACTATTTTGAAATCCCCAAACCAAACCATGAAATTTAATGATTTGGTATATAATAAAATGCAAATAATGTTCAAAGCAAAGACAAAGTCACTCCCAGACTTTGTACAGAGTTTTTTTTTTTGCCTAGGAGAGCAAATACCATTTGAGATGTATTTGTAGGTTTACTGTCCAAAAGGTTAAAAAAAAAACCCAAAGTTTTCTATTTCTATTTACTATTATTATTTCTATTGTTGGGTTAAATTGTGGTACAATGCCAATATAAATTTAAAAATGTGTATATCATTTTTGGTTCTCTAAAGAATGGGTTTCAAAGCTATTTTGGGGGTTAAAAGTGTATGTTTTTTTTTAATGTTTTTTTTTTTCTTGTAGGGTAGCTTAAGTTGAGGAGAATGAGGGCAGACCACATGTAGGCTTTTTCTTTTGCCTGAACCTTGTCAGTTTCTACTTCATACATACAGTTGATTTGTTTAAACTGTTTGTATGGATTATACTTATTGCGTTTTGTTTGATGACTGAATTAAAATACTACTACTACTAGCCAATGAGATGGAGGGTAGGACAGGTCAGGGCTTCACAATCCCAGGGAAAAAAAAAAAAAAAAAGTTTTGACGGAGGGGAGGCCATCAGCATTGTAACCTATATAACTGCTTTTTTCTAACTGCTGGAAAAAACACGGATGGATTCACCCAAAGAGTAACTAAACCCCAGGATTTTGGCTTAAGTGTCTCCTCTCTGGAATGAGGAAAAAAGTATCAACATGGGCAGGGCTGGGAGGGGGGCGAGGACACATCCAGTCACTCCTTTGTTAAGGACAACAACATCAATAAAATGTCCAAACAACAAAAAGCAAACACACACACTGAACAAGATAATAGAATGGCTGTATCATATCTATAGGTATAAAGTGTTGCATCACAGTGGCCTTGAAATCTAAGATATGTAATAGACTGAAATCAAGGGCTCAAACTCATGTTTCTTTCCTTACCTCTTAAATTCATTCTGTTTTCTTTGTCTCCCTCTCTGCTATAGGCCAAAGGAAAGAAGCAACTGTTTGTGCAGCTTGTGTTGGATAACATTTGGAGTTTATATGATGCTGTTGTCACAAGGAGGTGGGTTAAAGACAAAACCCTGAAACACTTTCTTATGTTTAAAAACCACAAGCAGTATTGCTGTCTTAATTGACTGAATTCTCTGTTGTTATGGATTGTTTGAAACATGAAGATATACAGTACAGGCCAAAAGTTTGGACACACCTTCTCATTCAATGCGTTTTCTTTATTTTCATGACTATTTACATTGTAGATTCTCACTGAAGGCATCAAAACTATGAATGAACACATGTGGAGTTATGTACTTAACAAAAAAAGGTGAAATAACTGAAAACATGTTTTATATTCTAGTTTCTTCAAAATAGCCACCCTTTGCTCTGATTACTGCTTTGCACACTCTTGGCATTCTCTCCATGAGCTTCAAGAGGTAGTCACCTGAAATGGTTTTCCAACAGTCTTGAAGGAGTTCCCAGAGGTGTTTAGCACTTGTTGGCCCCTTTGCCTTCACTCTGCGGTCCAGCTCACCCCAAACCATCTGGATTGGGTTCAGGTCCGGTGACTGTGGAGGCCAGGTCATCTGCCGCAGCACTCCATCACTCTCCTTCTTGGTCAAATAGCCCTTACACAGCCTGGAGGTGTGTTTGGGGTCATTGTCCTGTTGAAAAATAAATGATCGTCCAACTAAAGGCAAACCGGATGGGATGGCATGTCGCTGCAGGATGCTGTGGTAGCCATGCTGGTTCAGTGTGCCTTCAATTTTGAATAAATCCCCAACAGTGTCACCAGCAAAACACCCCCACACCATCACACCTCCTCCTCCATGCTTCACAGTGGGAACCAGGCATGTGGAATCCATCCGTTCACCTTTTCTGCGTCTCACAAAGACACGGCGGTTGGAACCAAAGATCTCAAATTTGGACTCATCAGACCAAAGCACAGATTTCCACTGGTCTAATGTCCATTCCTTGTGTTTCTTGGCCCAAACAAATCTCTTCTGCTTGTTGCCTCTCCTTAGCAGTGGTTTCCTAGCAGCTATTTGACCATGAAGGCCTGATTGGCGCAGTCTCCTCTTAACAGTTGTTCTAGAGATGGGTCTGCTGCTAGAACTCTGTGTGGCATTCATCTGGTCTCTGATCTGAGCTGCTGTTAACTTGCAATTTCTGAGGCTGCTGACTCGGATGAACTTATCCTCAGAAGCAGAGGTGACTCTTGGTCTTCCTTTCCTGGGTCGGTCCTCATGTGTGCCAGTTTCGATGTAGCGCTTGATGGTTTTTGCGACTCCACTTGGGGACACATTTAAAGTTTTTGCAATTTTCCGGACTGACTGACCTTCATTTCTTAAAGTAATGATGGCCACTCGTTTTTCTTTAGTTAGCTGATTGGTTCTTGCCATAATATGAATTTTAACAGTTGTCCAATAGGGCTGTCGGCTGTGTATTAACCTGACTTCTGCACAACACAACTGATGGTCCCAACCCCATTGATAAAGCAAGAAATTCCACTAATTAACCCTGATAAGGCACACCTGTGAAGTGGAAACCATTTCAGGTGACTACCTCTTGAAGCTCATGGAGAGAATGCCAAGAGTGTGCAAAGCAGTAATCAGAGCAAAGGGTGGCTATTTTGAAGAAACTAGAATATAAAACGTGTTTTCAGTTATTTCACCTTTTTTTGTTAAGTACATAACTCCACATGTGTTCATTCATAGTTTTGATGCCTTCAGTGAGAATCTACAATGTAAATAGTCATGAAAATAAAGAAAACGCATTGAATGAGAAGGTGTGTCCAAACTTTTGGCCTGTACTGTATGGTAGTACATTAATGGGGTAACAATCATATACCTCTTCTCAGAAAAAAGGGAAGTACAATGACAAATAAATACTAGATGATGATAATGATACTGATGGACAATGCATAGATGTTGGCACATGAGAAGTAGTGCCTAAGAGATAAAGTTGTAAAATCATATTCCAGGACAGGGAATGCAGATTTTAGATTAAAATGTTGAAAAGGTGGAAAAAAACAGAGGGAAAGGTAGAATGAAAGGGAAAAATGGAACAGTAAGAATCAATTACCACAAATATGTTCCTGCAACATTACAACCAGGTGCTTTTGAATGTCTTTGCACATTGACTAGTATCACATTGACTAGTATTTCAAACAGCTGTTGATATCAAAATGATATCAATTTATTTCAGTGCCACATTTAGCAGATCCGCTTACAGGGTTGAGTTAAATCCTTGTGAAATTTTGTGACAAACAAATTAACCAGTGGCAACATTCTTGAAATGCTGACCTTATTAGGGAACAGAGAGCCACAGAATCCAAAACAAAGGAAGGTATCACCAGTCCCTCCAGAAAATTTTGCGATTTTTGCAATTGCAATAATTAACACAAATTCAACGAAAGTCTACAATATTTGTGGGGGCTTGCAATTTTTCAAAAGTCCCGCGATTTTTCTCCGTTTTCTGGCTGACCAGAAGTCGTCGCGCGTCGACATAATTTGAAACGTCATCAGAGGCGTCATTAGATGCACTAATGGCATTGCAGTATGGAGAGACACTCTGTATTGACATAAGAATTTGCACTTTTTAAATACATACAATATGTGTTTACAGAAGATGTAGCTTACATGTTGTAGAGTCACATTGTCTGGTTTGAGAGCAACAATATTCACTCAGGATTTTTTGCAACATTATTGGAGTCCATGTTTTGAAACTAATTAAATAAAACTAAAGAAGAGAACTATAAAAAACATTTGCAGCTATTTTTGTGATATTCGGTATGATTATTATAGCAAGTGATTACATGACTTATTTTTTGGAGGTAGTAATTTAAAAAAAAAAAATCACATTATTTTCTCCTTTTGTCATTCGCAGCAATTTTTGTCATTTGCCGCAATTTCCCGCAAAAACCTCCCACATAAAAACGTCGCAGTTTTCATCGCAAGTTTTGACACAATTGGCTGCAAATTCAAGGGTTTTTGGTCGCATGATCCTGGAGGGACTGTATAATAGTCTATTAGCTGTGTTTTACCATCCACGCTCTACTAAAGACATTTGGTTGGATTTCTAGTGTGCTAGTGTAACATATGTGGATGGGGCATGGACAGATGATGACTCGACGATATCATTTTCTGGCATTTATTTTCTCCTGCAGAAGAAAATATGGCACATTAATTGCCTTCTAGTCACCTGTTTCTAAAGTTCTGCTCCCCCAGCGATGTAAAACGGCACTGTCAAACTACATTTTCTCCTTTAAGCTCAAGTATACAACAATTTGACACTACATTATATACACATAATTATCCAAGAGCTATTGCAATTTACTGGAGAACACTTAATTCAAGTTAGAACAATACATGTTCATGCAAAAGAAAAAACATTGACACCTGGTGGGCAAAGTATATAAGTGTATGTGGGGTGAAAAATGAACAGAGACAGTGAAAATGATTACATTAAATAAACAAAAACATAGACAAGACAACATGGCACATTAATTGCCTTTTGGACACATATCTCTGCACCTCAAAACACACAGGATAACAGCATTTCACACCAGAAATTGGGTGTTATAAGCTGCAGTGCCATGTTAGTCACGATACAAGGCGGCTCACTGTAATACAAATGGCAGTAAAAATGAAAAACGTCTACAAAATGTATATTAGCTGTCAACACAACACAAAACAGCTGCTAACATGACAGTTAAACCGTTAACAATATCCTCAAAAGATTACAACATAAACTGCTCCATTTACAGAGTAAATAATAAAGTAGTGCAGCAGCATTTTACAATGCGACTTAGCCCCAGCAATGCAAAACGGCACTTTGAAGCGCAGACAGAAGGAGCTACAGAAACCCAGGAGGTACAGAAGAGCCAATGTGCAGCAAGCTAATTTCCACATCAAACATTAGAAATAACAGTAAATAGAAATAACTCGTAGAGATAAAAGTCACAAATACTTTTATCTCTACGAGTGCACCTTTAACTCTGTCACATTGGCACATCAGCTAGCTTGGAGAGACTGACTAGTGCTAGCTTATCAACCTGGCATATTTCCCATAAATGTGGCCATTGTCACACTATGGGTCATGCTAACTTTGCACTTGCCACATCAGTTGTAAAGGTTTAGGTAAATGAGGACTTGTGCAAAGCAACATATTTAAGTGTATAGGTTGCACTAGCCACAGTGGCCACATTTAAGGGAATGCCAGGTTGATAAACCAGACTTAAAGTCTCAGCCCTTCAAACTCACTCAATTGCTTAAGCTTGGATCATATTCTGCAATGACCCTTTTTGGTGGACATGATATAGCTGAAATGAAATGAAATGAAAATAGCTGTAATAAAAAGGTACATGGCAGATTGTGTTACCCTCTATGCCTTGTGGTCTGTCTGTAAAGATGTCTAATCTGTTTCTGTGACTAGAGACAAGGAGAAGGTGGAGAAGGTAGTGACATCACTGGGGGTAAAGGTGATGGCCAGGGACTCTCGTCACTCCGATCCCAAAGTCCTCCTCTCTGCCATCTGTAGCCAGTGGTTACCTGTGTCCCAGGCTGTCCTCTGTATCCTTTGTCTTGTGTCTTTATCCATTATCACGTCCTGTGCTTGTTTTGGTGCTTTAGTTGGAGATGTTTGTGCATTTGGTCCCAAGTGTTCTTTAACACAGACTGCAGCAATGGTGTGTGAGAAACTTCCTAGTCCTGTAGACATAACTGCAGAGAGGGTGGAGAAACTGATGAGTGTCGGAGCACGACGATTTGACTCGTTACCAGAACAGACGCAAGAGCTGAAAAGAGGTATACACACACACACACACACACACACACACACACACACACACACACAAACCAGATCTGTAGTACTGAGTTAATGCCGACCTCCATTTTTATGTCCTTTTGGGTCAATGACAATATAATACAAAATCCCCTTTTTTAATATCAGCATTTTATAAACAGTCAGGTCTGGAGAGATTCAGGCATCACTAAAATGAAACATGAGGTCCTCAAAAACTGGTGAGTGGAAAGGGCCTATAAGAAGTTTCTTATTGACTGATTTAGACACCTTTATTGTTATTAGGGCCCAGCACTAATGGCTGTGGGAAGCCCTATTAAAATATTGAAAATTATTATGAGGGCCCAAGCACCAAGTGGTGTGAGGACCCTACTGAAACTGAAGGAATTATTATTAGGGCTGGAGCACTGAACGGTGTGAGTGTTGAAGGGGGCCAGTCAGGAGGTTCTGATCAGGATGCCTCCTAGGCACCTTCCGGTGGAGCTTTTGTGGGCGTGACCAACTGGTAGAATGACCCGCGGCAGACCCAGAACATGCTGGAGGCATTATATATCTCATCTGAACTGGGAACTTATCAGTGTCTCCAGGAGGAGCTGGAAAATATTGCTGGGGAGAGGGACGTTTGAAATGCCTTGCTTAGCCTGTTTGTTTGGTCAGCAGATAAGTTCATACAGTTTTATTTTTCAGTTTTATTTTTATTTCAGTTTTATTTTCGATTTTTCATTTTAGATTTAGATTTACATTTACAGCAACTTTAAATATTTTTACAGGACTGTATCAATTGTGTGCTGATGAGCACACAAGATAGAAGATGTTTTGGAAGTTCAAATATGGACACACCACTGATTGTCATGAACTGTTTTGCACAATGCTGTTAGTCCTCTGTGTGAAAAAGGAAAATATAAATTATTGTGTGACTGTCTCGTGTCGTCTCAAATGAATGCTGTTTGAATTAAGTATTTCATTCCCTTTTTGCCCTGGTAAAGCCTTGGTTTTAACATTTTGGCTTTTAGCTCGCTCTTGTGCAGTGATTTCAGATGTGTGTTTGCTTCCTATTTCTCCTTACCAGCATTCCTCCAGTGTTCAAGGGGGGAAGACGCTCCACTCATCGTGTTTGTGTCAAAGATGTTTGCTGTAGACACCAAGGCCTTGCCCCAGAACAGACAAAGGTAAGGGGTGTGTGTGTGTGTGTGTGTGTGTGTGTGTGTTGCTGCAGTCCTGTTCTAACCTAATGCCCAGTAGATATGTCTCATACGTCATGTTTTAATTTATACATTTAATAAGACCTTCCACACAAACTAAAGGCTATGAAAGTTGTAAAAATGTGACAGAATGTCGCAGACACATGAGAAGTCCTATAATGCCAATAAATTCACAAATGAGTAAGCTATTGAAATTACAACCTTGACGTGTGCATATTAATGCTATAGGTCACTGGTAAATATGTGAAAAAATATGTAAAAGAGATTTGCTGAGGGCTTTTCCACAAACTAACAGCTGTGAAAGTTGTAAATGATGTCAAAGACACACCTGACGGGGTTTCACGTCTATATATATATCTATGAATGAGCAAGCTACTGACAAGATGATAAGGCGGAATTCTTTTTTTTTTTTTTTTTTTTTTTTAATTCAGTGAATGCAATGCACTTTCGTAGTTTTCATCTTGCAAAGTATAGCAGGTTACCAGCTAGCTAGTTACTACAGCCAACACTAGCTGTAAATTTTTCCTTCAGTGTGAGCCTCAGCTGTTAACACAAGTTCATCAAAAAGAAGACAGTTTTTATTTTACTTTATTGGTTCTCCCAGAGCAGGTAGGGAATCTCACTGTGAGCTTGAAAGCAACAATTAATGAACTTGATAGTATGTTGCCTACTTGCTAGCCAGCTGAAATGAACATATAGCACCAGTTTTCTTTATATGGCAACAATACCAACATGACCAATGATCCTGCAGCAGTAACAGGGACCTCCCCCAGCTTCTTTGAATGGCCAGCGGACATAAGATCAGAAAATGAAAGAGCATAGCCTGAGAGAAAATACAGAGACATTATATGCTGATTGCTCTAATAGCACTGGTGTTTTTATGAATGTGCTCTTTAACACTGAACACCCCACTACATGGCACACAGCCATAACAATGCCTAGAACAACACCTGTAAATCCTTTTCTGGCAGCATCTGACACTCACGCTCAGTATTACTTGTGTATTTAACTCTTCATGCGCAAAAGGGGCAATCTAATCTGATCTGTTTCTTGTGGATGATATGATAGACCACTAGGTGTACATTTGGCAATGACTCACACAAGTGGCAGAATTTTGGCTTGGCAAGAACTTCGGATACATACAGTACAGGCCAAAAGTTTGGACACACCTTCTCATTCAATGCGTTTTCTTTATTTTCATGACTATTTACATTGTAGATTCTCACTGAAGGCATCAAAACTATGAATGAACACATGTGGAGTTATGTACTTAACAAAAAAAGGTGAAATAACTGAAAACATGTTTTATATTCTAGTTTCTTCAAAATAGCCACCCTTTGCTCTGATTACTGCTTTGCACACTCTTGGCATTCTCTCCATGAGCTTCAAGAGGTAGTCACCTGAAATGGTTTTCCAACAGTCTTGAAGGAGTTCCCAGAGGTGTTTAGCACTTGTTGGCCCCTTTTCCTTCACTCTGCGGTCCAGTTCACCCCAAACCATCTCGATTGGGTTCAGGTCCGGTGACTGTGGAGGCCAGGTCATCTGCCGCAGCACTCCATCACTCTCCTTCTTGGTCAAATAGCCATTACACAGCCTGGAGGTGTGTTTGGGGTCATTGTCCTGTTGAAAAATAAATGATCGTCCAACTAAACGCAAACCGGATGGGATGGCATGTCGCTGCAGGATGCTGTGGTAGCCATGCTGGTTCAGTGTGCCTTCAATTTTGAATAAATCCCCAACAGTGTCACCAGCAAAACACCCCCACACCATCACACCTCCTCCTCCATGCTTCACAGTGGGAACCAGGCATGTGGAATCCATCCGTTCACCTTTTCTGCGTCTCACAAAGACACGGCGGTTGGAACCAAAGATCTCAAATTTGGACTCATCAGACCAAAGCACAGATTTCCACTGGTCTAATGTCCATTCCTTGTGTTTCTTGGCCCAAACAAATCTCTTCTGCTTGTTGCCTCTCCTTAGCAGTGGTTTCCTAGCAGCTATTTGACCATGAAGGCCTGATTGGCGCAGTCTCCTCTTAACAGTTGTTCTAGAGATGGGTCTGCTGCTAGAACTCTGTGTGGCATTCATCTGGTCTCTGATCTGAGCTGCTGTTAACTTGCGATTTCTGAGGCTGGTGACTCGGATGAACTTATCCTCAGAAGCAGAGGTGACTCTTGGTCTTCCTTTCCTGGGTCGGTCCTCATGTGTGCCAGTTTCGTTGTAGCGCTTGATGGTTTTTGCGACTCCACTTGGGGACACATTTAAAGTTTTTGCAATTTTCCGGACTGACTGACCTTCATTTCTTAAAGTAATGATGGCCACTCGTTTTTCTTTAGTTAGCTGATTGGTTCTTGCCATAACATGAATTTTAACAGTTGTCCAATAGGGCTGTCGGCTGTGTATTAACCTGACTTCTGCACAACACAACTGATGGTCCCAACCCCATTGATAAAGCAAGAAATTCCACTAATTAACCCTGATAAGGCACACCTGTGAAGTGGAAACCATTTCAGGTGACTACCTCTTGAAGCTCATGGAGAGAATGCCAAGAGTGTGCAAAGCAGTAATCAGAGCAAAGGGTGGCTATTTTGAAGAAACTAGAATATAAAACATGTTTTCAGTTATTTCACCTTTTTTTGTTAAGTACATAACTCCACATGTGTTCATTCATAGTTTTGATGCCTTCAGTGAGAATCTACAATGTAAATAGTCATGAAAATAAAGAAAACGCATTGAATGAGAAGGTGTGTCCAAACTTTTGGCCTGTACTGTATATATATGTGTGTATATATATATATATATGTACAAAGACCAACAGTAAACAGCCTCAACTTACTTAAACGTCTGAGTCATCATTCAACGCCAAAACTAGTGTTTAGCTATCTGTTACTCTGTGCAGTCACGCACACGCAGTGGACAGAATAACAAATGAAATGGCCATGGATAAAAATCATTGCCTTCTCATGTTTAGGGTATGGAGATAATCATTTTGGCACTATTTCTGAACATGATGAAAAATATTCAGAATTGCTTGCAGATGGCTAAATCAACTCTGCGTCAAACTTTTCTGCCATATGGACAAAGAGCAGGTTTCATTTTTATCATGACTTCTAAGCATGCCATGTTGTTAATGTTCATTATACATTTGTAGACCTGCAGGGCAGTCCAGTGTTCACAGATTTACAGCGAGAACTCCTTCGATAACAAGTAGGGATGCGCAATATATATCGGGCCGATAAATTATCAGCTGATAATGGTACATTTTTTTATAATTATGCATCATTCCGATAATCAAAACTATAGCTGATAAATAGTGCCAATAATATGAAGCCAGGCTGCTTTCATTGACCTAACGAGGGTAGCATCTACACACCCGACATAGTGGGTAGTTGTACATGTACCTTTAAACTTGGTTTGCAAGCTGCCAGTAAACACAGAGAAGAAGAACAACAACTGCAGCAATACATGTTGCAGTGTGGACATCTGTCACAGAGGAAGACAACAGGATTGTGCCGAGGGTCTGATGTCCGATCACCTGACACAGGTTAGACACAGCACTTAAGGACTGTGTGTGAGGTGAATCAATTTTGTTGAGTTAGCAAGAGTGATGTCAGGTTGATTTGGTTTGGTCAGAGCTATGGAATAATAAATAATTCATATTTTCGCACTACAGTTTAGCCTTTCTTACCCTTAGGTGTACATACAGGTTATACACTTATTTTTAAAATACAAAAATGTGAAGTTTTCGGTTATTGTATTGGTTTATCGGCTATGAGAAGCAGGTAATTATCAGTTATTAGTATCTGTTGAAAGAATCCATATCGTTGCATCCCTAATAACAAGAATCTTCTCCATCATGACAACTAAAAGTTGTTTTAGAGCTATATACATTTTGCCTTAAACTTATGGCCCATTCTCCATTTACATACAAAAATAGATGTCTGTTGCAAACAATGCAAATGGCACTGCTATCATACTTCCATTTGTCATTTTTTTCAGCCAACAGATGACAGTAGAGGACGGAGTCAAAAGTTTCCCACAACAACAAATGAGGCCGCAGTGCAGGAGGTCATAATATTGTACTTTTAAACGGAGGCAGTGTTGTCGACAGAGGTGGTCTGTGCGGCCATTATTTACATCGCAACTCATGGACGGATAATTCTTTCCTATTATCAGTTCGCTATGTTCTGCCATTATTTAAATTTCTTTGTCGTCTCCTACTGTTGTATCTCGCTTTAACTACGTTACTTTGCCTCCATGATATCCGATGGTTCTGCAATGTTTTGTCCATATGTGTAAGCTTTCAGAGAATATGCAAAAATACGGGTGAAACTATGGACAGAAGGCTCTGTTTGTCTTCATATCTAACATTGAATAAATAAACTCTGAGGCCCTGATCACGCAGAGAGAGTTTTTCAGGTTGCAAAATGCAAGGCGTACCATCTTTATTTATTATTTTTTAATTGAATGCCACTAGTAGAAAAGTAGTTGTTACGCCTTGTTATTGTTGCCAGGCAACCACCCCATCACCTCCTTACCCTAACCCAGAGCTGCAGAATAGAGTGTGCCAGTAAACCCGGAACGCCGTTAGTGCTTTTAGCACTTCCGGTTCTCTCGTCTAAAAGTCAATACGTTTTTTGAATGGGATTTTGGTAAAATGCCTCAAATAAGGTCTGTGGTTAACAAAAGCTTAAGCGAGTTTCCGGTTTTGTTCTACAACATAAAACACGTCAGTACATACCCTACTTGTGAATTTTGAAGCTTTTACGTGTCGTAAAAAAGGCAGTTGCTAACAAGTTGCTCAATACGACTACAAACCCTGTTGGGGACAATAAAAGTGTCATCACCCCCGAACAGGCGAGAGTGCTGGCAGTCCGCAATTACAGCTTCTTATTTAGCTTAAACAGTCCGATTTCCCCATTATACAATGTTTTTAAAATAAAGCGGCCGGAATCAGTTGAAAGCTT